TTACTATAAAGTCTAACATCTTATAAAAGGTAAATGTAGGTCATTTCAAAGTCGTCTGATATTAATATCAGGTATTTTATTTCTTTAATAGTAGTCTTTTATTATAAATTCCAACATCATATAAAAGGTAAATGCCGGTCATCTGAAAGTCACCTGATAGTAATATCAGGTAATTTATTTCTTTAACAGTAGTCTTTTACTATAAAGTCTAACATCTTATAAAAGGTAAATGTAGGTCATTTCAAAGTCATCTAATATTATTATCAGGTAATACAATCTCATATTAGAAGTTTCTTATTAGAAGGCCAACATCTTTTAAAAAATTTAGTTAAGACATTCTAAAAGTTATCTAATATTACTATCAGGTAATACAATTCTTTAATAGTTTTTTTTTATTATATTGTCCAACATCTTAAAAAAAGCAAGTAAAGATCTTTTGAAGTCATCTGATATTACTGTCTAGTAATGCTGTCCTACAATAGAAGATTTTTATTAAAAAGTCCAACATCTTATAAAAAGTAAATGAAGATCTTCTGAAGTTATCTGATATTACTATCAGGTAATACAATCCCTTATTGAAAGTTTCCTATTAGAATGCTAAAATCTTTTAAAGATAGTGCAGACTTTCTGAAATTCATCTGATATTACTATAAGGTAATTTATTTCTATAATTGTAGCCTTTTATTATAAAGTCCAACATCTTATGAAAGGAAATTGCAGGTCATTTAAAAGTCATCGGATATTACTATGAAGTAATTTATTTCTTAAGTAGTAGTCTGTTATTATAAAGTCAAGCATCTTATAAAAGGTAAATGCAGGTCATTTGATATTACTATCAAGTAATTTATTTCTTAAATAGTTGTCTTTTATTAAAAATTTCAACATATTATCATCATCTTATTTATCTTTCTGAAAGTCATCTGGTATTACTATCAGGTTATTTATTTCTTTAGTAGTAGTCTTTTATTATTAAGTTCAACATCTTATAAAAAGTAAATGCAGGTCATCTGAAAGTCATCTGATATTACTATCAGGTAATACAATCCCTTATTGAAAGTTTCTTATTAGAAGGCCAAAAACTTTTTAAAAAAGTAAGTAAAGACTTTCTGAAAGTCATCTGATATTACTATCAGGTAATTTATTTCTTTAATAGTAGTCTTTTATTATAAATTCCAACATCTTATAAAAGGTAAATGCCGATCATCTGAAAGTCATCTGATATTACTATCGGGTAATTTATTTCTTTAACAGTAGTCTTTTACTATATAGTCCAACATCTTATAAAAGGTAAATGTATGTCATTTCAAAGTCATCTGATATTACTATTAGGTAATTTATTTCTTTAGTAGTAGGCTTTTATTATAAAGTCCAACATCTTATAAAAGGTAAATGCAGGCCATTTCAAAGTCATCTGATATTACTATCAGGTAATACAATCTCATATTAGAAGTTTCTTATTAGAAGGCCAACAACTTTTAAGAAAGTTAGTTAAGACTTTCTAAAATTTATGTGATATTACTATCAGGTAATACAATTCTTTAATAGTTTTATTTTATTATATTTTCCAACAACTTAAAAGCAGCAAGTAAAGATCTTTTGAAGTCATCTGATATTACTGTCTAGTAATACTGTCCTTCAATAGAAGATTTTTATTAAAAAGACCATCATCGTTTAAAAAGTAAATGGTCATCTGAAAGTCATCTGATATAGCTATAAGGTAATTTATTTCTTAAGTAGTAGTCTGTTATTATAAAGTCCAACATCTTATAAAAGATAAATGCAGGTCATTTTAAAGTCATCTGATATTATTATCAGGTAATATAGTCTTTTATTAGAAGTTTCTTTCAGTAGGCCAACATCTTTTAAAAATTTGCTATTACTATCAGGTAATTTATTTCTTGAAAAGTAGTCTTTTATTATAAAGTCCAACATCTTATGAAAGGTAAATGCAGGTCATCTGAAAGTCATCTGATATTACTATCAGGTAATTTATTTCTTAAGTAGTAGTCTGTTATTATAAAGTCCAGCATCTTATAAAAGGTAAATGCAGGTCATTTGATATTACTATCAAGTAATTTATTTCTTAAATAGTTTTTTTTATTATAAAGTTCAACATCTTATCATCATCTTATTTATCTTTCTGAAAGTCATCTGGTATTACTATCAGGTAATTTATTTCTTTAGTAGTAGTCTTTTATTATTAAGTTCAACATCTTATAAAAAGTTAATGCAGGCCGTCTGAAAGTCATCTGATATTACTATCAGGTAATACAATCCCTTATTGGAAGTTTCTTATTAGAAGGCCAAAAACTTTTAAGAAAGTTAGTTAATACTTTCTAAAAGTTATGTGATATTACTATCAGGTAATACAATTCTTTAATAGTTTTATTTTATTATATTTTCCAACATCTTATAAAAAGGAAGTAAAGATCTTTTGAAGTCATCTGATATTACTGTCTAGTAATGCTGTCCTTCAATAGAAGTTTTTTATTTAAAAGTCCAACATCTTATAAAAAGTAAATGGAGATCTTCTGAAGTTATGTGATATTACTATCAGGTACTTAAATCTTTTTTTACTATTGTTTCTGTTATAATGTCAGATAGTATAAGAATTGTAAGATTCTATTAAAAAAATGAATCAGATATTACTATCAAGAAATAAAATCAGAGTACTTTACAATTCATTGTTGATTGCTTGGTATGAAATTTTGCACTGTATAGAAAGTAAGTTTTAGTAAAAGAATTAAAGTGTAGTACATGAGGATTTTATTGTCCTTTTTGCTTTTCTTTTATTTGTAGGGTATATCGTTAAGCTGAATGCAGATAATGAAAGGGAAGAAAAAACTTTAAGTTAAAATATGGTTAATGAAGTGGGTAAATGTTAGTAAGTGGAAAATATTTGTATTTGAGTCGAATCTGTAGTAGGATCTAATAAAATATTAAGCAACAAGGGGATAAAGGCAGCCATGTGTTTACCGTGATTTTTGTTACACTAGTGGAGATCAAGAGCGCCTGAGTCTGAAACGAGTATCAAAAAAATCATCCTATAGAAATGTCCAATTTAAGTAACACAAAAATGAAGGCAGTCCATGCCTTCATTTTTGTGTTACTTATGATATATTTAATTCCTTCCGATTTTAAATTTAGACCCTCTTTTAGCTCTCCAATAACCTCTTTTTTACCTCTTTTAAGTCTCTTTAAACTTCTAAATTCTCTTTTAGACCTAACAACTACAGAAATGGATTTTTCCGCACTTTTAGAGGTTCAAAATAGGTTCAAAAGAGAAGCAGGCTGGCTTAAAAGAGGTCCGAGAAAAGATTTTAAAATATTTCGAAAACTATAATTGGAATTTTTTTCACTGAGTTATATTTCAATTGCCCTATAGAAGATGCAAATAATAGTTTTTGAATGATTTCAATAAATCTATTAGCATAGATAAAAATTTAAAAAATTTATATTTTACATAAATTTGAAATCCTTTTTTCAACCTCTAAATATCGGAATGTGTATTTTTCCGCATCGTTTTGAGGTTCAAAAGAGGTTTAAAAAAGAGGGTTAAAAGAGAGTCTAAATTTTGACTCCTATGCACAAAAGTGTCGATTTCAGATTGAAGACGACAGGGGGTAAAACTTGTATGAAAATGGTAACTATTTTCATACGGTCGAATATGGAAATTCACTATGAGTATAACCAATGAAAACGTTAGACGTTTCTGAATATACTCAAAAACGGACTGGTGTACAAGCGTCTTTAGGTTTCTCAGACGGTCATCGACGCTGCCAGCTAGGGTACCCCGGGTGCGCTATGCCCGTAGGGAGAACATGTTCAGTCCTCCCCCCTGGGGGAGAGAAACTATATTTAGGGATCATTTACATATTGCGTCACATGCTTAGGGGAGAGGAGGTCTACAGTTTTGTGACGGCCTGTGTAAAAATTACTAAATTCTATGTGACAAAATGTGACGTAGGGTTGGAGGGGTAAACAATTCCCAAAATTTGCGTGATGTAATATGTGAATGATCCCTTAGAGAATAAATTTAGTTTCTTTAGAATTTCAGTTTTCTAATGACAAAATTCTTACATTTTAAATTATGGAAAATGAGTGGGAAATTGAAGGTCTAGAATATCTAAGCATAGAGAAATATTGTTTAACTTTAACAAAGAATGTCTTCAATTTTTAGGGTTACGTACACCTACGGTGTACCGACTGAATCTTTTTGGTGAGACTCTTACGTTCGTAGGCAAATCGTGTTCCCCCTTTGCAGCTAAAATTGTTGACCAAAAGAGCTCGAATTTGGTTCAGATATATATTTTCACTCGTAGATAACAGGAAAAATATAGCGAATGTCAAGGAAATAACAAGATTTTTTGACACAAATTCATAAAAATTGATCATTCCCCCACCCTTTAACTTCTAAACTATTCAACATGGAGAGCAAATATAAGTGTATTGAATTCTCCATTTCAGTCCGAGTGCAACTGAAATGTTCGGTTTTTTTAAATTAAAATGAATAGGTTTAAAATATGTAATACATTTTTATTTTTACAGGTAAGCAGAACAGTTAATAATTATATTATAACCTCCATAAGTTGTTTATTATTTTTCTGTTATTAAAAAAATGGGTATAAGGGCGGTAGCATAATATTTGTGAATCTTAAAGTACGAAACACGTGTTTGTGAAAAGTAATATATCAGTTTTACATCTTTATGTAATCACTGTAATCAATCGAGCTTGCAAAGCAACAAAAACAAGAAACAGAATTATTTTCTATGTCAAAAAGTAGCAAAGTTTAATTATTTTAATTGCATTAACTTTATGAAACAAGTATGAATCAATAAAAATATAACAAAAATGAGAATTAACTGAAATTAAGTATAAATATTTACTAAACTTGTAATGGGCCGTTTGACTATTTGTCACAAAATGCTTTACTGTCGATAGTTGCGGTTTGGTGAACGCGATCGTGAACGTAATCTTCTGGATGAAGATGGTGGGTTACCTGCAGACGAGTTGTAATTAGGTAAGTGTGACAATCTCCATGAATTGTTTTGCCTATTCGAATTATAATGTGACCGCTCTGATGAGTCACATGTTGGCTGTGATCGCCTCGACCTGAACTCTTGTTCATATGAACATGGGCAACATCTTGAATTGTCTCTTCTAACAGAATAGTGGAAATTTCTCTCAGGCGTTCTCGATCTTCGAAAATTGTCTAATTGCCTCGTTGAATGTCGAAAAACACAACTTGGAGAAAGTGTGCGTCTTGACATGTACGATTGTTCTCTTAAATTATAAGAGATATATTTTTGTGAACGAAACTTTTTCGAAAAGTGTTCCTGAGGATTATAATTATTTGGCGAACGTGATCGTCTGGTAGTTATTTCTCGTCTAATTAAGTTTCGCGAATTTTGTTTTGAAGAATGTTTAATTTCTCGTTTACTTGAGGAGGGAAAAAGCTGTGAATATCTACGAATGTTTAATACTTTTTCCATTTCTTTTAATTTATGTTTCATCGAACGTATAGTTCTGTTATCTTTTTTTGGCTGTTGACTTCCTTTTAAATTAGTTCTAATGTTTTATTTTTTTTCTTCTTGCTTAGTTTTGGTTATTCGTATAGGTATTTTTGAATATAAAAGTTTATTTCCATCCTTCTTATTAATTTTCAAATCTGCAAAATAATGATAATAATTAATGTTCAGTCGAAAATTTAATTGTGTAAGATGAAATTGAATAAAGAGTGAGATAAAAAATTCTTGTGATTGGAAGAAAATTGTAAAATTGTTTAAAATAGAATTTTGGACTAACAAACCATTTTAATCGCGTTTGAATGCAAGTTCTTGAGAATACAGTTTTTAATATAACAAACGAAAAGTGTTTCTAAAGAACGACACACTGTTTTTTAAATTGTTTTGATTGTTTACTTTCTGGGAAGAATAAAAATAGGCTGCAAAAAATATTAAAGTGGATTCCTCACAACAAAAGGATATCCTAATAATATCCTTACGATATTCTAAACCGCCGCTTTGTAGAATATTTTTAGAATATCCTCCGGAAGTTCATAGTATATGCTGAAGATATCTTAATAGTATATCCTTAGGATATATAAAAGGAATTTACAGGATATCTCTAGAATATTCTATGGATATAAAAATATCTCTAGAATGTGCTCGGAATATTTTTAGAACATAAAAAATTGACATCCTGAAGATATGTTTGCATCAAATAAAATTCGAAAATGCATTGGTTTGAAAACTTTCTTTAACCCTCGGAGCATACATTTCTTTTTTTAAGAAGAAGTATACTCAGGATTACTGTGATTCTGTTAACTTTTTAAAACACTACTATTTAAAAATTTATCAAATTTACATAAAAAAATTGTTTAATATTCTTTAAATATTGAATAACAAGTATATATACTTTAAAAGTTTCACGATAAATATTTTATTATAGGAAAAATATTCTAAAAGTAAACAATTTTTGAGAAAAACAGCAAATTATATTCTTTTAAAAATTGTAATTTTTGTAATTTTTAACATTTTTAATTAATATTTTAGATAATTATGCAGATATTGTGTTCAAAAAATGAAACCTAATTGTTTAATTAAAAAAATTTTCTTTTTTAATATTTTTTTTAGATTCTTAAAAAAAAATACTATAAAAAGGTTCAACTTGTTTAAGCTACCCAGCCATGGGGTTTGAATTTACGTACTCGATATTTACATGCGTTAAAAGCTGACCTTTTTACCTTTCCAACGATATATTACATTCTCATCATATGAGAAGGTATTAGTTTTGTGCGAATTTTGATTTTGTTAATTTTATGAAATCTTTACGTTTTAGAGTCCCCTGAACCCAAAAAACATGGTTCGGTGGTGGTGTCTGTATGTAGCCAAAAAATGTTATTTCCGTGATAATTTTTGAAAAACTTATCGGATTATTTTTAAATTTAACTCACTTAAAGTTGGTTCAAAAATGAAACTTAAGTTCGTTAGCGAGACATTTTCGTCATAAACTACAAAAACTACAGTACTTTAAAAATTTTCAAATTTCAAAATTTTCATTTGTATATTATTATAGGTTAGAAAAATACAAACAACTTTTCTTTTTATTGAAAAGAAATCAAATTTTTTAAAATGTGCCATACTAGTTTTTTTAGGTTGGTTTATTACGAAATAAGTATACCTATTTTTAAAACTTTTAAATGGCGTATCAAATATAAATGATATTTTTTCCAAATAAAACTATACAACAAAGGTGTTTTCCGTATAAACCACACTGAGAGACCTTTGGGTCAGCAGCAGACTTTCGATAGGCTGCTACTGACCATTTTGGAGGAACGCTACAGGACTATACTTTTGGGTTGCTACGGTAAAATCTTGGGCGCGTGAAAGTCCCAAAGTTGTTCAGCTGCAAACCAAAGACGGCATTCCCACTACTTCGGTGAGCTGCTCACCAACATTTGGGACTGTCACGCGCCTAAGATTTTACCGCAGCGCACCAAAACCATAGTGGAGCAGCTGTCACATACGTTGTTCCGCTACCCAGTGAGAAATTGCCAATAGACTTTAATCGGTCCAATATCGGTCCAATATTGGTTGCCGTGCTGGGCGCCGATTGACTCCCAATATTGGACCAATATGGGCTGATGCTTGGGATGTAACGGCATCGCCAATCATCGGTTGTCAATATTGGTCCAATATTGGCCGAATATTGGCAACCAAGAGAAAAAAATTTTTTTAAATAAATTTTTTTTAATTAAATAATAATAAAAAATTATTGTTTATAATTTTTGTTTAATATATTTATTTGTTTAATTATTTATTTTTAATAATTCATGTAAATAATAAATAATTTATTATTTATAAATTATAATTATTTAAAAATGCAGCAGCTATTAGAAAATAACATTCTGCAAAAAAATTCTATCATTGAAAAATCAATGATAGGCGAGAGAAATCCACGTCTTTAAATAGATTCGCAGATGATAGACAAGAGATATCCGCGTCATTAAACGGATTCGCAGATATACTCTGGTCTCGCGACGAATCTCTCGATACTTATATACACTGGAGTCGCCGTGTCAGTTGCGAGAACGGTTACAACGTCCCTCTGGCGGGAGAGATAAGAATTGTCACGTAAACTGCGGGTATAATAAGGCGGTCGGTAAAGCGATTTAGCAGTTTACGTGACAATTCTTATCTCTGCCGCAAGAGGGACGCTGTAACCGTTCTCGCAACTGACACGGCGACTCCAGTGTATATAAGTATCGAGAGATTCGTCGCGAGACCAGAGTATATCTGCGAATCCGTTTAATGACGCGGATATCTCTTGTCTATCATCTGCGAATCTATTTAAAGACGCGGATTTCTCTCGCCTATCATTGATTTTTCAATGATAGAATTTTTTTGCAGAATGCTATTTTCTAATAGCTGCTGCATTTTTAAATAATTATAATTTATAAATAATAAATTATTTATTATTTACATGAATTATTAAAAATAAATAATTAAACAAATAAATATATTAAACAAAAATTATAAACATTAATTTTTTATTATTATTATTTAATTAAAAAAAATTTATTTAAAAAAATTTTTTTCTCTTGGTTGCCAATATTCGGCCAATATTGGACCAATATTGACAACCGATGATTGGCGATGCCGTTACATCCCAAGCATCAGCCCATATTGGTCCAATATTGGGAGCCTTTATTGGACCGATGATCGGTCTCTTGGCTCCCAATATTGGACCGATATTGGACCGGTGAGAAATTTCTCACTGGGTACAGTCCCAAAGGTTTTTCAGTGCATGTAGCTTTATTTTTGTTAGTTTTTGAACATTTTTTTCTGAACTAGCTACGTGAATTATGGTCGACCCCAAAGAAACGTGGAACATAAAATTTTTGATTTAACAATTACTTAAATGAATAATTTTTCTTATTTATTATCACCTTATTCAAAACGTCTAAAAACTTAATTTTTAAAAAATTTTATAAATAACTAATTTGGGCAATAAAACATTAGATATTTTATGAATTTATCAATTCAGAAACAGTTTAAACAGATAATCGTTATGTACTAACTCTACTGTAAAATAGAGGTTCTAAATTAGATCTGATTACGGTATTAAAATAGAACTAAATTTCGATTTAGTACTAAAATTGGTATTAAATTAATCAAAATTAAAAGTTTTTTCAACTAACCATGTTTCTACAAAGAAAGGTAGTAATAAAAAATAATTTACCATTCGTAATAAACGATCCCAAAAATTTAAATTAAAGCTTAATTAATCTCGTAATCAATAATATTAAAATTATCAAAAATCAAAAATATGTGATGAGAATGTAATCCTTAAAATCATAGTAACTTTAAGAAAAAAAATTTTATGAAATATATATAATAGAAAAGGAAAGAAAAATTTTACCAAAGAAACATTTATAAGCTACGAAAATGAAATAAAACAATGTAATGCACGAAGGTGCGATTTTTTGATCGGCCTATAGTTAGGCCAACTTTTACAAAGTCGGTCTAATTTCTTGTGACAGAGGTTGGACCAACCATACAGATGATAACGGTTTACCGTCTAATGGCGACGATGGTTGGCCTGACAACTCATAATGAAGTTGGCCCAACTTAAAATGCATATGTTGTGCCAATCATACATTTCAATGGTTGGTCCAAAGACTGACGCCAATGTTGGCACAATTTTAGATGCGTGAGTTGGGCCAACCACAATTTTCATAGTTTGGCCAACTTCAACTGCCAAAAGTAAAAAATTATTAAAAAACTAAATTACTTATACAATTAACACGTTATTATTAGGGGGAACATCAGATACAACCTCTACCTATTATTATTAAACACAATCTCATATATACATTTTCGAAAATATCCAACGCTAGCTGAGGTCGAACCCCTAACCTAACGCACTACGCTACGCTTACATAGGAGTATATAACGTTAAATGTATATTAAAGCTGCAACAGTTGGGCCAAACGTGGCAAAGAGTTTGGCCGACCCAGAAAGTATAAGTCAATTATACTGCTTTTTTGGAGTTTTACCAACCGTTGCGCCCACCGAGGACCAGAGTTCGTTCGACCATGAAAATTTAAGTTAATTTAACTGCGTTTCTTGAGTTTTGCCTACCGTCAGGCCAACCGTGGCCCATAGTTCGGCCGACCAAGGAAGTTTAAGTCATTTAAACTGTGTTTCACAGAGTTTTGCCAACCGTTGGGCCAATCGTTGCCCAGAGTTCGTCCAACAAAAATAATATTATAAGCTAATTAAACTGCGTTTCACAGAGTTTTGCCAATCGTCGGGCCAACCGAGGCCCAGAAAAAATACAACTTACAAAAATGTAAGTCAATTGAACTGCGTTTCACAGAGATTTGCCAACCGTCGGGCCAACCGAGGTCCAGAGTTTGGGCCTCTCTGGCAACCGAAATTTCGCTTGCTAAAGTTAGGCCAACCGTGGGCCAACCTTCAAACTCTGGCGGCTAACCCAAATTCGCACCTGGGTAGGCACCTCACTGTGAGCTATTTTCGCGTGAAGCGCGCAACAATTAACTAAGCGCGATGATCGGACGGTTATCGTGCGCCCAGAAGCACGCTTCTGGAAGAGCGTTGGACACTGTATGGTTATAGCTGTTGATTTATAGCTGATTTCAGTGTTTATCATGTATTAACTTCGAATTAACGAAGGTCTAATTATTATCAGTATCATTAATTAACAATTTGTTAGAACAATCTAATCAGCATTAACTTTATATTAATACCGGGTGAATCACAAAAACAGTTTATAAGAATACTTCTTTTTTTAATTTACAATCTTTATTATATATTATATATTATATTACCATATTTGTTAGATGTCATGATTTTCGACGTTTTAATTATGTTTGAATTCGATGAGGACTCCTTTTCTTTTGACGGTGAAAGTTGTAGCACTGTGTCTATGATAAAAAACAATATCATTTTAAAAATTAATAACGAAATTTTTAACCCTCTGCCTATGCTGGCTTAACTTCAGTTTAGTCCTCTGAAAAGTATTTTTCATAGTTTCTACACGGATAAATTTAAGGTGTACATGCTGTATCCCGAGTCAAAATTTAGGGGTTGAAAAGAGGATTTCAAATTTTTGTTAAATTTAATTTTTTTAAATTTCTATCTATGCTAATACATAGATTAATTGAAATCATTCAAAAACTATTATTTGCATCTTCTATAGGGCAATTGAAATATAATTCTGTGAAAAAAATTCTAATTTTAGTTTTCGAAATATTTTTAAAATCTTTTTTCGGACCTCTTTTAAGCCTGTTTACTTTTCTTTTGAACCTATTTTGAACCTCTAAATGTGCGGAAAAATCCATTTCTGTAGTTTTTAGGTTCAAAAGAGGATTTAGAAGTTTAAAGAGGTTAAAAAGAGGTTTTTGGAAAACTTAAAGAAGGTCTTAATTTTGACTTGGGACCTTTTGAAATATTTGACCAATAATTAACTTTACTTTATATAAAAACAATAGGAAATATTAGGTGTAAAGTGAATTGAATAGTCAAAGTTTTAAATAGGAATAACCCATGCACTATTAAGTACAGATACTGCACCAATAATTGTTCCGTGTACTTAACATTTAAGAGGACTTAAATATTTCTGTTTTTTAAGTTAATAAAATTGTCAAACTATTTAATAGAAGCCTTACTGAAAAAATTAAAAAAAAAAATTTTATCGGTTCATTGGTTTTGAAGAAACATGTACCCAAAAATAAAAAAGTCAAATTTAACTGGAGACTTAGATTACTTAAAATTTAAGAAAAAGTAATGACATTCTGAATTAAATATCCTGAATTTGAACACTTCTATTTATCAGAAAATGTTCTAAATAGTCGTATTCAGCTTTTAATTAAGTCTATTTCTACAAATTAAACAAAAAATTTATGCTTTTTTGATTTTAGATAATGACAAACATAAGATCAAGCAGAGGATTAAACAAAATTAATTTTTATCTTATTAACATTTTAGTTTTAATATCACCTTTTTTAGGTGTTATGATTTTCGTCGTTTCAATTATTTTTGAATTCGATGAGGATGGTTCATTTGACGGTGAAAGTTGCAGCTCTGCGTCTATGATTTTCGCCGTTTCAATTATTTTTGAATTTGATGAGGACTCAGGTTCATTTGACAGTGAAAGTTGCAGCACTGCGTCTATGATAAAAAAACGATATAATTTTAAAAATTGATAACAAAATTCTTATATTCAATCCTCTGTCTACGTTGATTTAGAATTTAAATAGATTATTTGAGACAATGACGAACACAAGAACCACAGAGGCTTAAACAAAATTAAGTTTTATCTTATTAGCATCTAAGTTTTAATACCATCTTCTTGAGGTGTTATGATTTTCGCCGTTTCAATTATTTTTGAATTTGATGAGGACCCAGGTTCTTTTGCCGGTGATAGTCGTAGCACTTCGTCTATGATAAAAAAACGATATAATTTTAAACATTAATAACAAAAATTTTATATTTAACCCTCTGCCTACGCTGGTTTATCTCCAGTCTAGTCCTCCAAAACGTATTTCTTACAGTTTCTACTTAACATTCATGTAGATAAAGATGATTAGATATATTAGATAGATAATAATTAGATATCGTACCCGTCTTCGACAGGTTTTAGTTTCTATTAATATATTTGAAGAGGTGTCTACTAATCGGGAATTTAATTTGATTGGGAAAAATTAATAATTAGTTAGCATTAACTATTTCATTAAGAAAATATTAGATACTATTTGAATCAGTAAATGATTTTTCCTATCAAATATTATTTTTATCTAATTCAGATTCACAGAACAGTATTTGACAATTTGTAGTATTTTATGCGTTTGTAGTATTTCAATTAATGTATAAAAAATTAATCCTAAATTTACACCAGCTTTTGAAGTTATGTAGAGTCCTACTTTGAACTAATTGTATCGAGAATGGACCCTATTTTATGACTGATAAAATCTAAAATAACACCTATATTGTAGACTGAAAGTAGTGCTTAAATTTTGATAAATAAAAATGTTACATCAATAAAAATTAAAGCAAAAAGCGATTTTTTAAAAACAAATTAATATAATACAACTTTTTTTAATTATATATCAAAATTTCCGGTTTGTCAAAAAATTCTCGATTTTTCCTGGTCGAATTAAATTCACGGATATTTCTCGGTTTTCTTTCGCGGTTGATAGACAATGTATTAGTAGAAACTATAACACGTTTTCGATTCCCACATGGGAATATACATGGGACCCTATATCAAAAACCATGTAAAAGTCAACTGTCATAAAGGAAACAATATTGATTTTCATGTAAAACCGTATGAGAATTTTCGATATGATTTTAGGTAATGAATATATGTGACCTGGACAGTGAAAAGGGACCTTACGTGCGAAAACAAGTTTTCGAGAAAACAGCAGTTAAAGTTTAACTTAGAAAAACCCTTGTAACTTTTTAAAATATTAATATTTTTTAATCAATTTAAGCTTATTTTCTTCACTGTGGATCACAGTATCAAAATAAAAAACATACAAGTAATGAAATTTTTTTTAATAATTGTTTATATAAATTAATAACAAACTCCCCAAACACAGAAAAAATAATCTAAGTTTTCTAAATAGCAACAATAAGTATAAATAAGTGACACATGTTTGTAAGGGTTTTCGAGGCCGCTGATTACGAATATGATGTTAAATTGACAATTTGACAGTTGACAGCTGTCAACTTCTCTAAAAAGTGATCGTTTTTTGTAAAAAAGACAGTAGTAAGGTTTTTGAGGTCGCTGATTACGAATATGATATCAAATTTGAATTTTAACTGTTGACAGTTGTCAAAGAAACTGTCAACTTTTCTAAATAATAAAAAATTATCGTCTTCGTTATTTTAATTTGTATAATAACAAAAAATCAGTTTTTTCGTATTTTTACTCTTGTTTCTTTTAACTTAAAAATTACACTGGGGTCAAAAACTTTCAGTACATTTGTACTGATTACTTTTAAATGCTCACTTCACTTCAAATTCAAATAGTTCTGCAAAAATAGATGTTAGAGCTATCAAACTAGGATCATTTTAAGGTTCAATAAATTTAGAGTCAAACAGGCTAAGATATAACTAATTCAATACTGTAAATATTGAAAATATAATTCTTTAAAGTTAGAGATTTTTCGTGAAAAATGCGATTTTGAAATCTAGAATTCAAGCGCACGCCAATTGATGGAAATTTTTTTTTAAGATTTGATAGTTGCACAATATTAAGTACAAATTCCATTCTTTAATTCTAGACCAAAATAATTCACATATATTAAGTATTTTCTTGAAATTCTATAAAAATAACTTCCCTTTCTCTCGAAATTTTTCAAAGAATATTAATTGCTAATTCGTCGTTTTCGTTCACTTGTTTTTTCAATTAACCACACTTTTGAAAAATATGCACCTTTTTTTATTGAAAAATAAAAAAATTGACACCTAGAATGAAAATAAGGAATAATAATAGATTTAAAATGTGTAAAATTATGAGAAGAGGGATAAATTTCATGTAAATAACTTAAATTTCCTAAGATGAAGAGGTTCTATATTTTTCAAAAGTGTGGTTATTTGATAGAACAAGTGAATGAAAACGACGAATTTGCAGTTTATATTCTTCGAAAAATTTAGAGCAAGAGATATTATTTTTATAACATTTGAAGAAAATACTTAATATATGTGAATGATTTTGGTCTAGAATTAAAGAATGAAATTTGTACTTTCTATTGTGCAACTATCAAAACTTAAAAAAAAATTTTCTTCAATTGGCGTACGCTTGAATTCCAGATTTCAAAATCACAATTTTCACAAAAAATCTCTAACTTTAAAGAATTTTATTTTTAATATTTACACTATTAAATTGGTTTTATCTTATCCTATTTGACTCTAAATTTATTGAACTTTAAAATGATCCTACTTTGATAGCTCTTACATCCATTTTTACAGAAATATTTGAATTTTAAGTGAAGCGAGCACTTAACAGTAATCAGTACAAATGTACTGAAACTTTTTGACCCCAGTGTAATTATAATTAATAAATAAATAAATAATAAAAGTAAATAATAATAAATTAATAATTAATTATAATTAATTAATTAATTATGATTTTTTGGTTTTCACCATCTTAAAGAGCGTTTCAAACCCTATCCAAATCAACAAAAAAGTAAAAAATGATTTTTTGACACGTAAGGTCCCTTTTCATAGACCAGGTCACATATACTTTAAATACACTCAAAAAGCCTATATTTCTTTAAGAATAAATCTTATGCTAAATGTATTTTCATTTCTCAAATTGGTATAATTTTTCCATATCCCTATTGAAAATTTCCATATCAGATTCTACCCGTTTTTGCGTAATGCCCAGATAGAATTTTGAAAAGTAACAAAATACCCCAAACATTTCTAAAATTCAAAAAGCAAAATTTTAATTTATAAATAGGAATTTATTTATTTTAATAGTCATTTCTAAAACATTTCTAGAATTTAAAACTAAGAAAATTTTGATTTATAAATCCCAATTTGCGCTAATGGCGTCTTAAGAACTTTCTATGTTTCTGTGCCCGTTGAAGTCAAATTTCAGTTTTATTGATACTTTAACTGTACACTTTATATTAAACACATATTTTATTTTCTACCTTAAATCCCTGGTAAAAATTTCGGATTAAATACGGACTAGTATGGATTAGTCCGAAAATTGTACGAAAAAGTCCAAAAAATGATCTACGATAGTCTGATATCAATTCGAACGGAAACCTAAATCCGAAAACACTCCGGAATAATCCTGAATGTCTACGAATTCAGTCCGTAACTAGTTAAAAAAACTTAATCCGAAAAATGTCAGGAGCAATCCGAATTCTGTAAGCTAAACATGAATTTATAAATTCTAAGCAATGTACAGACAAAAGTCTGATATTATTTATATAGATTTGAAACAATGACGAACACAAGAACAGGCAGAGGCTTAAACAAAAATTAATTTTTATCTCAATTTACCAACAACTAAATTTTATCACCATATTTTGCAGGTGTTATGATTTTCGCCGTTAGGTGAGGATGTCGTTTTCAATTCAAGCTGTCGTTAGTGCGACGCAGGTGATACGATACGATTGGAAGTCGAACAGACAGCGAGTATTGCCTTTGGTGGGAGGCGCACGAGGGACTTTATCCAGTGGGAGGCTACTTCTCGATATCTCTCGTGGGGATGGTTACGTTGGCTGTGCCATGGCGATTGAGGAGAGATACCCTGTTACCCAATCTAAGGCGGTGTCGAGCTCGGGACTCTCTGAGGACCGGATCGAATACCGCTAGCACTTATCGGGACACTACTAGAGAGGGTGGGAGGACGTTGGGGGCCGGACTGTCAAAAAGACGGCAGGACTCGTACGAGGCTTCCCCTAATACCAGAATGCCGGCAAAAAAGTTAAGGGGCCCACAAGGGGGAACCGTATCGTTTGCGGAAATTACTAGATCGTCATTAGCCGGGGCGATCGTTGCGGAAAGCTATTTGAGGGTTTTTATGACGTTGGCTAATCTGGACCAATTAAGGGTAGCAATTCATGGTGATAAAGAAGGGGACGAAGTAGGACCCTATCCTCACTTTGGAGAGGTTCGTCTTACTAGGGGAGCGATCCTAGTAGAGTGCCTGGACTCAGAATCTAGGGAATGGCTAAATAGCTGTAAACCTCGGTTCAGTCAGGCGTTAGGGGGTTTTACCATTAAGGTGGTAGATCCGGCTCAGCTGATCAAGTTGGTAAGGGTTGTAGTTTGGGTACCTGGTCCTAGGGTGAACCAGGCTTCAATCCTTCAAGCCCGGCAGTTGAAACTGTGTTTTCGGCTGGGCCAAATCACTCTAAGAGTGGCGTGGCACGGTCAGTACCGTGCCACTCCAACAGCCAACAGCTATGTCAGTACATAGCTTTTGTGCAGGGTACACAGGGGGGACGCGACTGAGGAAACCGCGAATCAGCCTTAAAATGGCTGCTTCCGGGATTCATTGTACGCAGATTAATTTCCATCATTGTAAAGACGCTTCGGCGATTTTAGCCAAGAGCACCATGTCGTTTGGGGTAGCACAGACATTAATAACAGAGGCAGAAGACTTTTAGATTTTCTGATAGATACAGATTTAGATATTTTAAATCAGGGTAATGAGCCGACTTTCGTTACTGTTAACAGAAAAGAGGTATTGTATATTGCGATCTGTTCCAAGTCTTTGTGTGATGGCGTGAGAGACTGGAGCGTGTCTGATGAAGATTCCCTCTTGGACCACAGTACTGTTAGATTGGAATCGTAGGATCGGGAACAAAAGTGGGGACGTAATCCTAGGAGTACTGACTGGGCTTCATATATTGAAGACCTCAAGGCCTCCATGGCATGCTTTCCCACTTCGTATAGAACGCGGGAGGAGTTGGAGCTTGCAGCGGAGTATCTGCGAGATTCTATTATCTGCTCCGTTTGGAGGAACATAGAAAAACAGTAAGGAAGCTTTTTAATAAAGCAAAGAAACGTAGGCATCAACGAGCATGGGATGAATATCATACTGCTCGCGATTCTTACAAGAAAGAAGTAGAGAGGGCAAGGGGTGTCAGCTGGAGAAGTTTTTGCGATGGAATGGAGAGGGTACCAGAAGCATCAAGACTTTATAAAGTACTAGCTTGAAACCCAATGGCAAAATTAGCTACTATTATGTTGCCTAATGGGTACTATGCCCAGGATAAAAGGGAGTGTCTAAAGCACCTGATGGAGGTAAACTTCCCGGACTTTAGAGAAGGTTCGGAGAACAGCCATGGCATAGGACCAGATAGGAACCGAGGATATCGGGAACACTGGAAACTAGCAGCCAGAGTCATAACTCCGGAAGAGATTGATTGGGCAATAAGCACTTTCAAACCATTTAAGGCTTCAGGGGGGACGGTATATATTACCGGGGGGATTGGAGTGTATTAGAATACCTTTGTGTAAAATTATAAGAGCGTGTTTAGCTCTTAGTTACATACTGGAGACTTGGAAAAAGACAATGGTTGTGCTTATTCCGAAAGCTGGTCGGTCAGGGTATACTGCGGCGAAGGACTTCAGGCCAATTAGCCTAACTTCCTTTATATTAAAGACGTTAGAGAAACTGGTGGATAATTTTATTAGACAGGAATATTTTAAATATCTATCACCAAAAAATTTTTTGCTTTTGAACAAAATAATGCATTGTGTAACAAACGTGAACTAGCGGCCTTTTTGGAACGAGCGTTCACTGAAAAACATATTTAATTGAAAAGAATGTTGAGAAAAGCGTACACAAGATTTGGATCACGGAACCATGGACGGAATTACATCTATTTGAGCGTTACGAAAATACTCGAACAAGCACAAACAAAGCTCTTTTTCGAACTGAACTGTCATTCACAGTATTTTTGTAACTACGTACGAAAAGAAGAAGCACTTTATGTTCGCTTACGGAGAGACAAATAATGTCATTTTTATGATTGCATTATGAAAAGTGTTATTTGAATTTATCAATTATAATGCATACTCATTCTTAGAATATCCATGTCCGATCAAAGGATGTTTGAAAATAATTTATCTCCACAAAGACGTCACAGTGAGTACTATATGATAATGGGGAAAAGTGGAGAAAAGTATATCAATAACCATCTAGTCAATATGAACTCGATGGAATAGTTAAAACTTCCTTTTAGAAGCAATTTTAGAAAATGATGTAATATATTGGACACTTGTTCTCGAAGATGAATTTACAGACTGGTACAACAATTATAGTTGAAAGGTAATCGGTCGCGCTCAAAGAAAGAATATTATTAGCTTTTATATAATACTCTGGAGTCAATATTGCCCAGACAGAAATTTAAAAAGAATAAAGGCTCTTCCTTTCAAACATAAAGAAGATCGAGAGCTAGTTACTATATTTACGAGAGTGAGAAGCGCAACTGTATATATGCGTTGAGGTCTTACTTTCTCTTCACTCTACTCTGACTTTCAGGTCACTTAAACTTTCGCTTCATCCTCACTCTCAATTTCTCTCACTTACGCTTTTACCCTCATTCTCACTTTACCGTACTCTGACTTTTAGTTGATTCAAGAAGAAATTTCCGTGAATTTTTTAAAAGTTACTTTAAATACTTTTAAACCTAAAAATTGAATTTTTTAATTTCTAACCCATTATTTTTAATTTTATATTTTTTAATATATACCTGAAAATAATAATAATAATATTTTTAAAAGTAATATTTCAATATTGGATTGTAACTTTAAATACTTTTTTGGTAATACTAGTTTATTGAATTTAATAAAATATCAAAACTTTTTAATAATTCACAAACATTTGTGTAAATTTCCAGCAAATTCCAGAATTTCTCGGTCGCTAAACACCCTGTAAATGATAGGGTGAGAGTAAAGTTACAGAATAGCACTCTATTCGGTTCGTTGTTAATAACTTATTTTAAATATTTCTGAAAGAAGTAATATATTTAATTACCTTCTAAAATTAGCTTGAAGCTACATTCTTTTTCGAAGACTTCTGTTTCTTCCATATTAATGGAAGAGTGTTCGCCTTCTGGAGTTTCTACGTTATGAATTTTCCTCGGTAATTCAATGTTATCATCATGTTTTCAAATAACTGATATCCTTGCTGCTTACACTACTTGATCTTTCGATGACTTGTGTTTTTTCCACATTAATGGCAGAGCGTTCTTGTTCCAGTGGTTTTACGTTGTGAATTGTTCTCGATAATTCAATGTCATTATCCGGTTCTTTCAATAACTGAACATCCTGGCTACTTACACTATTTGACATTTCGATGGCTTGTGTTTTTTCCATATTAATGGAAGAGCGTTCGCCTTCTTGTGTATTTATATTATGAATTTCTGTCGAGAATTCAATGTCACTATCCTGTTCTTCAGATATTTTAGGTATTTCAGACCTTTCTATAATTATAAAGAAAAGATGTTTCAAAAAGAAAAAGTGTTTAATAAATAATATTGTATGATATTAAAAAAAATATCTAAGTATCAAAACAAGGTAGGGGAGACTGGGGTTAAATCGAACAAGTTAAATACACTGAAACCTCACTTATTTAAAGTCTCGTTTACTTAAAGTCGCATTTATCTGACCAATTTCGCTTCAGTTACTTTCAGTTAGGATCAGTCCTAACCCCATATGAACGGTTTATTTTCTTCGTCATAAATCAGGTGTTCTAGATCGGATTAATAAATATTAACAGTTAGTGCTGGATAGATTCGGACGACCAATAAAGTTTTTTCGTGCTTACAATTGTGGGGAATACACTAGTATGGAAATGTAAAAATACTTGGCATCAAAAAGAAAAGCAATAAAATACATGGTTCCTTATACATTTGAAGAAAATGGTAAGTCCAAACTGAATAACCGAATAGTTGTAGGCAATGTAGTAAAAAAAAATGTTGATGTTGTCAATCCTAAAATAGTCGTCATTGATGATGGTGAGCCTATACCATTAACAAATAATGATCGTGAAAATCGATAACATTCGACAAATCGAAATATGATGACTCTAAGGTCACGCGAAAATATTGTACCACTTTCTATGGAATACATTGAATATTGCGGAGTGACACATACCAGTGACTTATGCAAAAGCAATCGAAGAAATATTCGTCGTCCATGTAAGAAATATGACCAGGACATTTGTTCTGAGAATTCTAGGTAAAAGAACTATTGCCTCAAAGTAGATTTTTAAAACATTAAAAGAGGATATACGAATGGATTTGATATCAGTCTGACTTGATATCAACAGTGTTGTAAGTGACCGTTAGTGTAGTGTGTTGACTAACGCCTACAAATATGTGTTTCATGGAAAGTGAGAGAAATCTCAAGTGTATCTCGCGCTTTTTGTTGACAAAGGAATAGTTGCTGCGAAGTTTTAAAACAGATGCTCTATTCTGTTTTAAAATCTTTGAGTAAAGCTTTTGAAGTAACTGTTGGTGATTGTAGATACATTGTCGGGTTAAAAATTTCAGGAAATAGAATTAACAAAACAAGATTTATTCATCTGGCGGGATTCAAAATGGGAAGCGTAAAGAGACTCTCTGTACTAACAGATTTTCGTGCAATATTGTATCCAGTCTTTGAAATTACTCAAGAATGTAAAGTATCATGTCGCGAAGCGGTTAGTTGCCTGTTGTTTCTGGCGATCGTTTCCCGTCCAGATATCATCTCTACCGATAACAATGTCAGTAAGTTTCTCAAGAATCATAGACGTCTCAGTTTTAGCAGCTGGTCTCTACAAGCACTATCGGAATCGGTATATATAGTGTCATCTGCTACTTCGAGAGAATCAATATTGAAGTGAAGTCTGATTTGACCCCATTCGAATGTTATTTCGGAAAGAATCTCAAAGACATATTATGAACAGTTCGTTTTAAAAACGGCTTAATTGTTCTTGAGGCATTTTGGGAAATCTTAACTCTTAAACCGCATTTCAGCTTTTTACTCAAATATCTCGTTTATATTCGTAAAAATTAAACATGTTTCGATATTCGACGGTACATTTTGTACTTAAGTTTACGTTCCATGTGTAATATTAGTCTCACAAGTATCTTTGTGTATTTCAAAACTTTATAAAGTTGATAGCGAAAAATTTTTGAGTTGTTTACACCCAGTTTTCGATTTTAGGCAATTTCATTCAATAGTTTTGAAAAACTTTTTTTTAATTATTCAGGTTAAATAAAATTATGAAACCTATTTTCCTTCAAAATAGATGTATTGAGCTGCTTAAAATCATTTTTCTAAAAGATAATATTATTATTGAATTTAAATGGATTCGCTATTACACAATTTCAATGAAACATACTTCAGATGTTGATTAATATACGATGTTAAATAACGTTTTTTGAAAAATGTCTTAAATCAACTTGAGACGTTTTTCGAGCTTAACTTTCCAATTATTATTGGAAATAAGAATATTGGAATAAGAACTCTTATTTTAACAAAGGATGTTATGATTGTTGTCGCAAAAATAAAAAAAAAGTTTTGATGCGCGATCGGATATAATATACTATTATACTATGATTTGATAAATTTGATAAGTTTGATACAATTCTTTATCAGTTAAATTGTTTCAAATTAAATATTTAATTGTACACGAAGAGACCGAGATGTGTAATTTTTGTATAAAATCACACTAGAATTTACTATTTTCACATTGCAGACACCGGAAATAAGGGGACTTTTTGTAGTTTTTACTATTTTCTACACTAATCTGACTAATCCGACAAATGTTCACCAAATTAGTAAAGTTTCTTACTATTTCGTCCAATAGTTCCAAACAACTGTAGTAAACTCAGAAATATTGTGTACGGAAAATTACTATAGTTGTTTGTAAATGCAGAAAGAAAGAGTGAAAGAAAAAATATGTATTTTTATCGCCGGTTTCTCGTCAATTATTGACTAATGGAGATAAACTGGAAGGATTTTTACATACACATAGAAGCAGTTTACTTTTAACAACTTATTATAAGACATAGTTTTTGGAACAGGAATAAATGAAAAATTTATTAATCTATAATGGTCAATTTCTGAGATAACGAACGACCTACGTTTCACTTTGTATTTAATTATTATAGATGATATCTAAATTTATTTTACATACGCGATACATAGTCACTGTCAATGATCAGATGGCATCAGCTCATTTGCGGAGATTGTCGAAGTTAGCAACCAATAGAAATGTAGGCGCCATATGTCTGCACTCGCTAGCCACACTTGCTCACCAAAAATTACTACAGTGGATAGTAGGTTTTAGTGGAAAATGTTTTCATTTGTAAGATTTTGTCTAATGAAATTACAGATAAAACTATAATCAATTTTCGCTACATTTACAACTCTTACATAAAATATTAAAACTTGCTATTTCAATGTAGCAAATTTATCTATTTCTCTTGTAAATTTATGTATTTCTGTAGTACATTATGCTAAAAGTCCCCTTATTTCCGGTCATTGCAACCATTTTTAGTAATTTTTACAAATGTGAGTCTCTCTGTGTATGTACACGGAAAGAAAAGGTCTGGAAGAGATATCCATAAAAATATTGTTGAGCAGAATATTGTTGTGTTATCCAATTCAATGGAAGAGACAACTTTCAGAATGGAAGCACATTCCATATTCAATGGATGAGGGAGCCATATTATATTGTTGAATCAAATATGGATGTGATATCCATAGGCATGGTTGGGCTTACAATTCATGCTATGGATTTTCACATATGGCTGTCTCATCCATATAAACTTTGGTTGGGAGATCCATAGTTAGTTCAAAATTTCGATACATGTTGCGCGCAATTCATTATCATGGCATCCATTTAAAAATGGTCGTCTCAATTTGTCCGTCGCGTCGGTTTCCTGTCACGTCTATATAATCACGTTGTGAGTTTATTGTGTATAAATAGTGTTATAATTGTTTATTATTTATTATCGTTATTGTCTATTAGTTTTTATGTAAATTCATTTTCATGAAATATGTGTAGAGTATATAAGGAATATTATATGCTCAAATATTGTAGTTGCGTGTATAGTGTAGTAGATAGCGTTAGTGTTTAGTATGTGTTAGGTCTAGGGTTCGTGTCTCCCCCCCATCAGTTAATAATTTATTTCGTTAATATGCGGTTATTCAATAAGTGGTGTGTATTAATTAACAAAAATGTGTATAAAATATCTCAAGTGACATAGAATTTAATTAATTGAGTGATTCTAATTTTTTTGTTTCCCATTTCCATTACTATGGATCACCCAACCATAGATCTTTTGCTGCTCCAACATTATACAGCCAGCCATAGAATATGGATGCAGCAACCTTAACTATGGATATCCCGTATTTTTCAATATAATATGGCTGTGATATCCATGTATCTGGATGTGTCAACTATTCCTTTTTCTCCGTGAGAAATTCCTTTTTTTTTATTCCTTTTTTTTCTCCGTTTTTTATAACTATAGTTAAATTTATTATTTAATAAAATAATTTATTTAGTTTATTTTTCTTACTTGATTTTGAAGTTGGTTTTCTATTTTGATTTTGATTTTGAGACGGGTTCTCTTTTTTTTCTTGGTGCACGGGTTTTCTTTTGATTAGATATAATCGTTTCTCCTAAAAATTTTGTAATTTAAAAGAGTTTAAAAGTCTTATAAATTTTTTTATCCCACATACACAAAAATGGCGCTTTTAGATAGCTGACGATAGGGAGTAAAGACACTCATTTGTTCGACCATATGAAAATGGCGTCCATTTTCTTCCATGTGCAAAAATAACAGTCGAACAAGTGACTGACTTTTATTTTCTATTGTCTACTATCTGAAATCCACACTTTTGTGCATTAAGAACAACAAATATTGTAAATATAACACGGAAATAAAGGACACCGTAGGCGTCCTGAGACCTACACTCGCGTATCACAAAAATCACAGTAATGAAAAAAGTCTATTAATATTTTTGTTATTATCATTTAATCTGTTATTATTATTATTATTATTATTATCATTAAATTATTACCACTTTCCGGGCAC